AATAGAGCTTAAGTGTCCAGCGTCCCCCCGATGGCAGCTGTGCCGGCCGAAGCCGAGGCCGGATCACCGGGCCCCGCCGTGTGTCACCAGTTGTGCCCCAGCCCCAACTCCAGGGGCCGGCCTCCCCTCCGTGCGGGCGATAAAGCTGGCGTCTGGCCCCCCACGTAAAGTCCGTTCCTGCAGCTCCGACGGCCCGTTGCTGCTTCCTTGTGTCTGCTGTGTCATTAACTCGATTCTCACTTTAAGGAGCAAACCCAGAAGTAAAACCCTTCCTCCCGCCTGCGTTGACGCCTCTGCCCCGGCCCCTCCTCTTACCCGATCCCAGGAGGCGCTGGTCAGACCCCCAGGTTCAACGTCAGCCTGGGGAAGATGGAAGACTCGCCGGGAATATCTCCACAGCACAACCTCCTCTCTTCAAAATACAAGGCGTCCCCGAGAATGTGTGCTGTGCGCACTGTAACAACCGGTAGCTTGGTTTTGACACCGAAATGAATTTTCCTAAACGCTGCTCTTATTTAATCACGCGAAGCGTGTGTGTACATTTTGGGGGGGGACGCCCCGGAGCTGGAGACTTGGTCCGAGAGAAGGGCCCGCAAAGCTGGGGCTGCTCAGATCCGCGCCGAACGCCGCGCGACATCTACGAGCGGGGCTTGGAGGCGCCCAGGACTCCGTTCCTTCCTCGCGAAAGGCGCCGGGGACACGTCGGGCGCGGGAAGAACCCCCTCCTGTTGCCACGACCGTAATACAAACGGAGCCTCTGTGTCCTGCTCCGCTGGGAGACTGTTTAAGGAGAAAGGGGATCATCAAGCTCCAGGGTAGGATTGTCCAGGTTAGTTCTGTCGTTTGCTATTAAGAGTCTCAAAATGTAAGGTTTTTTCCCTGGGTCGTCTTTGTGGATGACTATTTTCTCGTATTCAGCGTCATATGGACATTTCAATTACAGTCCACCCTTCGCCAGCGTGGGGTTCAGGGTGCCAAGGCCCACGCAGTTGGAAATGTGCCTGTAACTTTGGATTTGCCCCCAAATTTAACTGCTAATAACCTACTGTTGACGGGAAGCTTTACTGATAATCTAAACCGTTGATACACATATTTTTACGTTATATATATTATATAGTATATTATTACAATAAAGGAAGCTAGAGAAAAGAGATGTTATTAAGAAAATCATAAGGAACAGAAGACACATTTACAGTATTTATCGAAAAAAGCCCACGTGTAAGTGGACCATGCAGTTCAGACCCATGTTGTTCCGGGTCGACGACTTACACATTCTTCCCCCCCTGAATTTTGAGGTAATTGTTAAAAGAATATTCCCCTTACTAACTTAAATTATCTGAAACAGAGAAATGTTGTTTTCTAAACCCCCCAAGGGACTTAGAGCTGAGAATTCAAACTATAAACCAAGACTCGTCAGTACAACTCCTTTTTCCCACACCCCAAAACAACCCCCCCCGCCCCCTTTTAAACACATTCCCCTCGGGCCTATAACTCTTCTGTCCCGTCGCCATTCAGGTTCCTTGTCCTCGGGGACAGGGCTGGGCTAAGAGCCTCGGGAAGAAAACCACAATTAGTCTCCGGGCTTGAGGAACCCTCCCGGGTTCTGTCCGCGAGGATGAGTGCCAACCCCCCCGGACGCCCTCGGCGCTCGTGGGCTCTCCCCAGCCAGCCTGCCTGCGCGGCCCGGCTTAGACGCACAGCCCGGCGTTTCCAGCGTGGAGAGGCGAGTGCGTTTACAGTCCACGGACCAGCTGGGTGCAGAAGGAAGCCGCCTGCGGGGGTGGAGCCACGAGGGGGGCCACCCGTCGCTCCCCGGGTCCCCGCTCGCCTGTGTGTGCCGCACGCCCGGGGGAGGCCACCTCCCGTGAAAAGGCGTTGTCACCCCCGAGTGGTCTGACAACGGGGTCCTCACTCAGCGGCTTCCTTGTGCTCTTTCATTAAAATGACTTTGCTACTTTTTTTTTTAAGCCCTCACCTGAGGATATTTTTCCATTGAATTTTTTTAGAGCGGAAGGAAAGGGGGGAGAGAGAGAGGGTCACCTCCCCCGGCGCCCTGACCTAGGCCGAGCCTGCAGCACACAGGTGTGTGCCCTTGACCGGGAATTGACCCTTTGACCTTTTGGTGCTCGGGCCAACGCTCTAACCGCTGAGTCACAGCGGCCAGGGCTCTTCGGTACCATTTTTTAAGATTTCCCCATCATCTCAGGAACTTAGAGTAAATGTATTATCCGTGCTACAAAAATGACAACGAGGGCTTGGGTTATATGTGCGCGTTCGCGCTCCCGAGGCAATGAGTGGATCTCTGCCGCCTGGTTTGTTTTCTGCGAGGAAATCGCCTGCGAAACACTCTGGAACCAAGAGCTGGTGCAGACGGAGAGGGGCAGGGCGTTGACCCCCGGGGACCTGCGGCCGGCCTGGCGTGTTCTCTCCCGTCTCAGTGTAACCCTCCCAACAGCCGGGCGAGGTGGAGGTGTTGCCCTTACTCAAAAGACGATTTAAGCAATTTGTCCAAACACACACAGCCAGCCAGCGGCACAGGCCCGTCCAGTTCTGCCCGGACGCGCCCGGCGGGGAGGACTCCATGGATGTCGCCCCGAACCTGCCCTGCAGTTCAACTCTGTTACCTGGCTGGACACATTGACACACTGCGGAATGTGTTACAATGTTTCTCCTGCGCTTCACACCTCTGACTAGATACAATGTTTCTAAAACTAGCCGTGCTTCCCTGCTTATCAACGTGGCTTAATTATTTTTTTAGGATCCTGAATGTGGGAATGCGCTTCAGCGAAGAAGGCTGACGGGTGGAAGGGTTTTGCCTGCGGGTTCCCGGGAGGCGCCCGGCACCCAGTGGGCGCCCGGAAGGTAAGCCGTCCTCGCGCACATATAGCGCCTGCCTGGACCCTGAAAGATGCAGCAGGGGAGCCAGGAAAGGGCCCCCCTCATTCACAGCTTTTCAGTCCTGCGGTTTTCACACCCCGGCGCGTCTATCGAGAAATCAAACAGCAAAACGATGCCGCAGACCTCGCAGGGCGGCTGCTTGGAGGGGATGGCCCCGGGCACGCGCTCCCCGCGGATTTTCACGCCCCTTTTCCCGGCGATGATTCCCAAGAGGCTTAGCCGCTGTCTCCCAGGTGGGGCGTCGGGGACCAAGTGCCTCGCGTTGCTCCCGCCGGTGAAACAGCAGCGGCGCCGCGAGGACGGAGCTCCGCGGATTCCCCGCGTTATTTGCTGGGATGCAGGTCATCCTGCTTCTGGTTAGCAAGTTGCTGTGTATTTTCCCCTCCGTCTCTGCAGGTTCTTGAATCGATGTCTAGATGGGGTTTGACTAACCGTCAGCACAATTGGACTTTGATGGAAAGTTTGAAATGTGCGCGTAATTAAAAAAAAACCAAACCTTAAACGCGCGCTCGCTGATTCCCAAGCGCAGGGAGCTAATCCCTCTGGGGTGCGTCTCCCTTGCGCGTCTACCTGGTCCCCTAAACAGGTCTCCCTGTCCCCTAAATATGTGTACCTGCCCCCTAAACACGCTGGCTCCTTGGTCTCTGGCTGAGCGAAGGTGTACAGGATGTTTTTAGGGCACAGCCTGGAGCCTGCACGGCAGACCTGCCCTCAAGCTCAGGATTCTTATGCAACGTGCCCTTAGGTGAAAGCAAAAAGCGTGTCGAAAACAGAAAAAAAAACCTAATTGGTGAGTCTGAATTCGTATTTTCCTTTGGACTCCCTTTATTTTTATTTTTCCTTTTAACAAAAAGCAAAAAAATAGATCATTAGACGATCTCAGTTGCTCAACAAATCGGTGACTCACGGCTAAGTATGATTTTTGCCAGATTTTCCAAAACAAGCGATAGCAGCTCTACAGTGGCTTGAAATTCTCCCCTTCCCTCTACAGAGCCACTTATGACGACGCTGAAGCTTGATGCAGACAACGTTTCGCTCCCCACCTGCCCCAGGTAAGCCTTGCACGCGGGGCTGCTGGCTCACCGCCAGGCTCCCGCTGGAAGGCCATCAGGTGGCGGGTGGGGCAGGGCCCAGGGTAAAGGGAAAAAAAGAGCTTTCTTCCCAGAAAAACAGCTTCTTATCCCGCTGGATGCCGAGCATAGCTGAGGCATTTTTGTTTCCTTTTTTGGCTCAGGCTCCCGGGCTGGAAGGAGACTCCCCTGATTAGATGCGAGCAGAGCCCGACAAGCGGAGGGAGCCTGCCAAGCCCTGTGTCCTGGGTGGGCCGGAGCGTTCACACCATCCATCACCCCAACCTGCCGGGATGACAGGCCTAACCGGACGGAAAGGAGGCGATTTGCGAGAGGACAGCTTTTCAATATTTTTGGATGTTATGGGAGTTGGGAGATTGCCCAGTGTTTTCTAGTCTCCTCTGGCGAGTCTTTCTCAGTTTCTCGTCTGTGCCTCTTTTGAATGAAACGGTCCACGACACACGCGAGATGCAGGAGCGCTCTTCCAGTTTCAGGGCCGCAAGCGGGGACGGATTCATTCGCGTGTGCGGGGCATCCAGCGGGTGGGCACAGGCTGGAGGCAGCTCTGCCTGTCGGCCGCACACCCCTGGCCTAGCACCTGACCTGTGTTTATGGAAAAGAAATCTGCATATAAGTGGGCTGTGCAATTCAAACCTGTGTTGTTTGTGGGTCGACCGTATATACGTTTAGGGTTCTAGGTAACTCTACGAGGCAACCTTTAGGTATATTTAATTTTACCTCTTGCATCATGTATTCGAGTTAGTGGGAAGGAAACATGAATCCAGATGTACTAACAAGCAAGAGAAATATCACGTTTTACATTTTTCAAAAGCATGTTTCCCTCTGTGAAGTCTTGGCTAATGACATGTTCTTTCCTTTGACCCAGTCTGTCATCTCTCTTCTTTTTTATGGGCTGACACTATCTGGAGCAATATTTCAGCAGAGGTTTTTCTATGGGAACTGAGATAAAAAATTAGGGAAGAAATCAACTTTGACTCATCCCACTGTTCCTCAGCCCAGAATTCTCCTCTGTCAGGCTCTGCGGACGCTCACCCCTCCGGGTGGAACCCGGCGGCACACGCATTGCCGTTGACCCTGGAGCTCCCTGCGGTTGCCTCGGTTGTAGCAGGTGAGGTCGGTCTTCTCATTCCCACAGCCTGCTGAGGGCAATCTGGTGTGTCTGGGGAGATAAAAGCGACAGCCACAGCTGTTCATCTTGCTCGTTTCGTTCAAGAGCGCTTTTTGGAAAAGTTCATGTATGTAGTCACTGCCAAGCTAATTAAGCGCTGGGGCTGCCCGACTGCAAATGCTTAATTGGGCCTCGGGACGCAAGAATCACTTTCTCGGGGGAGCGCTAGGGGGCGCTGTAACCAGGCGGCTGTAGGCTTTCGGTCTTTCCAGCTTCCCTTGGCAAGACAAGGTCTATGCCCCGGGTGAGAGTAAGAGCTAGACCGGCTGCTGCTTTGCTAATAAATCAACACAGCCTCCAAGAAAACCGCATCTCTTTGAAAGGCCGGGAGAGCAAGGGCTGAACTCCGGCGTCCAAGCCCTCGGGTGATTTTCTGTTGGCCTTCAGGACTGAGCTCCGGTTGCCTCGCCAACTCTTCTGCTCCCTGTCGAATAATTCAGAGCTTCGCAGAGCGCAGGCCGGGGCTGTCCGGCAGGTTTCTGTACAGCACTCAGGGGTCAGGACGTGATCGTTTAGAGCGAGGCTCTTTTATGTAACAAAGACGCATATACGTCAATGAATCCTTATAAACGGCAGAACGAATTGTTGGGAGCTAAGTGGAACTTGATTGCAAGGTGAAATCCAGTGGTGCGAAGGGGACTGAGTGAAAAGGTTTTAAGGGCGGTGTTCAGATGGTACCCGATTCGCAGTTAATATCTGGGGAACAGAACATGACTCTTCCGTTGTGGGTACTGCAGCTGACACTGAGGAACTGTAGGGCGGTGAGTGTGTCTCTTCCCCTATGAGCTAATCAATTCCGCTTTAAAGTGAAAAGCTCACGAGCACTTTTCCAAAGAGCCAAAAAACACACACCAGTCAACCAGCTTGGAGAGAGGCCAATTCGCAATGCAAATAGGGAGCTCTGTTTACCGCTGACATTTAACAGACAATTTTCGAATCTCATTAGAAAGTACTTTTGAGAACTTTAATCTTTGACAACTTGACTTTGACGCGTTAGGAGGAAAGAAACACCACCAGAGAACCAGTGACTGGGGCGTGGATGTTTACTTGACTCATCCAGCCTCACCGTGGCCATACGATGCCTTTTGATCCCGAGTGTCTCTGGCTTTTAGACAGGCAGTTTCCCTGTTGGAATGAGCCGGTTAACTCCCGAGGAGGGACATCGACGTCACCGCTCAGCCCCTAACGCGGCGCCTTTCTCCATAGGCCGTGCACAGCAATAAATGTTAGGCCATCACGCACCTTCTTGCTACTGCTACCTGGTGCGTGTGCCGGGAGACAGCGGGTCCCGGCGGCCCCGCGGGAGACTCTGCCATTCGCACCCGCAGCCGTCCAGCCCAGGCGCCTGCCCAGGTCGGGAGAGGCCTCCCCGCCTCCCCGTAAGGACTCCACTGTTCGGTGAATTTAGAAGCAGTAGACGTTCTAAAAGCAATAATGGATTCTACTTAGGGGGAAATAGTGAAGTAATGGGACGTAGCAAGAAAATAGTCGCTTTTATTTCTGCTGATATGAGGTGGAGGTGGTTACTGCTTTTGTAGTTTAAGAGAAAAAATGCTGCTTTCGTGGTTTTAGAAAAACTTGTGGAATACGTTGAAATGGGCAAGAACATGTTACAGATTTATGATATAAATAGGTATGTAATAGGTATCAGTTTTATACATATATATACACACATATACATATATATACATATATGTGTATATATATGGTGTCCCCCAAAAAAGTATACACACACTTTGAATAATTATAAAGTCAGTGTTCATTAAAATAAATTTCATTTTCAAAATTGAACTATCAGCTGTTAAAGTGTCTATACATTTTTTTGGAACACCCGGTATATATAATTAGATTGTCCTCCGACCTGGTTTTTATATCTTACTGGTTCCCCGATAAATTAATGACTTAGAGTTATCAAAACATGTTCATTTATATTTGCCTGAGAATCACGATTTCGCCGTTTTTGAAACTGTAACGTAGTCTTTTGAGGATTTCACAGGATTTCCCTGCCTGGCATAAACGAGGACACTGTTTTAGGGACGGGGCACGTTCCCTCCGACAACACTCAAATCAGCGTTTGCGTTTGTGATGCATGTGTTTGCTTCCTGAGGCCTGCAGGCTGTCAGACCCTGGGACTTTAGGTCTTGAGACATATTCTAACAAAGGCGACTGAGCAAACACTTTGCTTAACGTGTGACCGAAACACTGCCACCTCCCTACGGGACATCCCTGCAGGTGTGATCCCATCTTTCCGCGGCCGGATCGTGGTGGAGATGACCCGCGTCGGTCCTGCTCAGCACAGCCTGCCCGCGGACCGGGGAGAGAGCTTTCCAGTCTGACCAGGAACGTGGGGGGCTCAGCTCCAAAGACAGAGCTTTATACGGACTTCATGCTCACCCGCAAAATTTCCTGGTGAAATGCCCAGAGCCCAGGCAAGAGCAGCCGCTGGCGTCCCTGCTGCAGGCGGCCCCACCGCACTGGTGGCTCTGGCAATGGCCTCTGCGCCCGTCGCAGTTCACACCTGTGTATCCAAGTCTCGCACCCGCACAGAGAGGCTGCCGGTGCCCCCCGAGCAGTTGCCATGGATACAGGGGTTTGAAAAGCCTTCGTCGGCGTGGAGGTCACAGCGCGTCCCTGACCATCCCAAGGGACAGGCCCAGTGACGAGACATCTTCGCGGCTTTTTCCGCGCACACGGGCTGGAGGTGCAGGCATTTAGCTTCAAACAGCCAGTCGCCACCGAGTGTGTAGAGGTTTTGAGAAACCGCTGTTCCTGAGGTTTATTCAAGAAGCCGGGAAGATTTTCAAAGTACGAGAGATAAAGGCCGCCGATGGGAACCGTGCTGAGCCACCCCTCAGGCCTCGCGTGGCGTGTCCACCGCTCGGCCGCCGGCTGCTGGTGACTGCGGTGTGAACCGTGGAGCCAAGGTCATGAACTGGGGGAACTTGCCTCTGCGTTTTTTAGGACATCTCCTCCCCCTTGAGCGGACACGGACAACGACAGGAAGGTGCCATTTTCTCGTTACAGCTCTTAAGCGTCTTTTTATAATCGGAACAGACTCCCGGGAAACATGCCTCATTGATAACAGCAAATACAGAATATCTTCATTCTACGACGAAGGGGGCATAGAAAAAATAGAATTTCCCTTCAACGTCTACCAAGGATTTTCCGAAAGAGACGACCTTGCAGAGCTCTCTCCCTATAAAACTGTCTTTTGAAGCCAAGGATTTTCATGACTTTACTAGAAACTGAACAGTTTCTAGTAGCGTGGAGGAAATAAAGAAATGGGAGCGGGGGGCCGGGGGGGGTGGGCAACCAATTCAAGAGCTTGGCTTAAAAACTTCACGAAATTTCCAAGTTGGGGGAAAAAAACTAAAGAAAACCAGAAACCCACTGGAGTGGCATCTCTCGAATCTGGTTTCGAGGACAGTTAGCATCCCCATGATCAGCACGAACCTCATGGGTCATTGCCTCTGGGAGCCCGTCCAAATGAGTCAACATCTGTTTGTTATTTTGACTGTGTAGCCCAAGTATTGCTTTGGGTCAATTACATTTTTCTTCTAAAAGTGAACATTGAATCATTTCCCCCGTTTCTCCTTTAAAGAGAAATCACCAAACGACTTGCCATTCCACGTAAAATATTACAGAGAGGCAGTGGGTGTCATAGCTCATTGTCACACAGATCCGCGATTTGTAATAAATACCGTGGCCGGCGGGGGGACCCGTGAATAGTTTTCAGTAATTCTCAGCCGTTCGTACACGGCCTCGGCGATGGGCTGAGACTGGTTTTAATTTCCCTTCATCTGAAACAGAGGAGACTATTTGCCAGATGTTGTCCTACTTCGGGTTACTCTAAAATCTCGGGGTAAATTACGGCGGGACTTCAAAGCAGTCGGCGCAATTACGTCTCATACAGCCTCGGTGCGTGATCATCATCATAATAAAAATAAAAAGAAACAGGGATGTAGTGATCACCGTGAACGGCGAGCTTTGAAACGACGGTGGGAGCTAAGGGTTCTGAAGGACATTTCAAGCTGTGATTGGCGGGAGAAATCAGAAATCAGATGGCTCCCTGCGTCCACCAGGCTTCACCGCTATTGCCTGGACCAGCGGGGGCTGGGGATTTACACTTCGCATTGTTTCGTTTCATTTTTACTTGTTTTCTGAAGGCAGCGGGGGAAAAATGGGTAACTGTGGGCTGCAAGGCCAACATGGTTTTTCATGAAGGTCAAAGTCACAGGGATACGTCACGGAAAGAAGGCAGGAGAGAGCAGAGGCAGGAAGACCAACTGAACAGGCCTCAAAATTGTCGATCATCAGGGTCTGACGCAGGATCCCTAGGTCCTTACGCTGACTCTACCCCTTTATTTATTCTTGGTCGGCAAGGAGGTGCAAACGGCGGTACCTTCTTGGCTGTATTTTCTTCTTATGATTTCTAAAGTTTACACATTTGCTATTTTACCGATTCCTTGGTCATGCATTTCCATTCCGTGTAAGCAGAGAGGCTAGTTTTACATTTTACCGTGATGGGAAAATAAAATAAAATTAAAAAAAAAACGGGAGGAGAGAAGGCTTATATTAAGGTCAATCGTCGGAAGAAATGAAGCAGACGGAGGTAGTAAAAGCCGAATGGTAAACAATAATTCATGCTTTTACTTTGCTTAAAATCAGTTCTATTGACACCCCCGCTGTAAAATACAGGCTCGCGCGTATTTATCGGATGAACCCGGGGAACGGCGCGTGTGAAGGGCGATGGAAACTTCTTTTATTGGCTGTTTTGACTGGCTTGGCACAAACAAGATCCGCTGTCAGCGGAGATGAAGGGATTAGGCGGTGCTCGGGGATTACCTGTGTCATTCAGTCTTCTTAATTGGGCGTTTTAGTTGACAACGAATTGGTTATTTATGTCCAAGTTTTTACAGTATGCGGTGGGTTGCTCGAAGCTTACTGTTATTCTGTTTATGTGAAGTCCGTTCATTTAATTGACTAAAACTGTCACTTTATTTTTCTAAAATTCTTTCAGCTTAGCATCCGATTCCATGATAAGATTGTACTTCACAAGTAATCATGATGGAGGGAAATTCTAGTATCCGTATGTCCATATTTTCATCAGAATACATTATATTAATGAACAAAAAGGACAGCCGCTTTACGTTTAATATAAATAACATGGCTATGAAGAGGACTTTTGCTAGAACTCTCACTTTATTGAAAGTCATAGTTAATGAAATACCTGATAATTATTTTTACAAAAACACACGCAAATAAGTAAAGTTCATCTTTCTTTTGATGGACTTGGGTGACTTTCTTTATGTTAGTAAAATAGATATCCAAGAAAGGTTAAGTATAAAGACCAACGGCTCAATGCATAAGTATTTCTTTTACTCATTACTTGGAGCAAGTTTTAATGTCCATTAGGTAGTAATACCTGCTATAGCTTCAACGTTGGTTGCTAAATAAATGAACATCTTAAACACTCTAACGGTGCTACCAACCAGCTTACATGAGCGAATTACCTATGAGCATTGCCATTAACCTGAGAAAACCATATATCCTGGCTCCACACACTTTTCTGTATCAAAGGAGATACCCATGCAAACACCTACTAGGCCGGCGGTGTGGATTTCTGATGATTTTGCCCCATTTCCAGAAGCGTGGGCTTGACTTTCAACGTCGTCTCCTCTGCCCAGGTAGAGTGTGTGGATGTAGTTTTCCTTCCCCCCGAAGCTGGATCGGGGGGCTTAGCCTAAGCCCCACCTGCGCTCTTACCCAGCCGACTCACACTCTTAGGTCCTCTCCCTACTTACCACGCGGTGCCTCCTGTCAAGGTCACACTGGTGAGGGTTGCTATCGCCTGCGCCCCACGCTGACGCGATACACGGAAAAATCAGTTTGGGGAAACCCCAGGTTCTGATTGGCATTTTTGGTAACTTCCATTATGGCAAATAAGAGCTTGGTTCCGTCTTTCTTCACCGCAGTGGAATCACCGCAGTGGAAATGCTGGTTTTGGTTTTTACATGTTTCCTCTTTGGCTTTTGAATAGTCGTGCGGAAATGCAAGGCGACGTCAAATCTACTGACAATCTCTGCAGGGAATGGGAAGGAAAATTAAGAAAGTCCAGGGGGCCCGGCCGGCGTGGCTCAGCGGCTGAGCGTCGACCTAGGATCCAGGAGATCCCGGTTCGGTTCCCGGTCAGGGCCCAGGCCCGGGTTGCAGGCTCCTCGATCCCCAGCAGGGGGCCTGCAGGAGGCAGCGGATCCATGACTCTCATCATTGATGTTTCTCTCTCCTTCTCTTTTCCTCTCTCTGAAATCAATATATATTTAAAAAAAAAAAAAAAAAAGATATATTCTGAAAGTTTCTATGTTCAAGAATAGAGATCGCAAAGTTTAGTAACTGTTTCCTCAGGCCCTAGTTTATCATTTATTATTTTATACGCAATTAAAATAAGCTCCTTTTTCAAGCACCCCAGCTCACAGCGGGATAGAACTCGCCCCGGGAAAAGGTAAGGAGGGGGCACCATGTATATTTTCAGCAGCAAGAAATGACAGTTGAGTGCTGGGCAGCAACGTGAGTGGATGGGAGTGACATTTACTGAGTCCCTAATGTGCGCCAGGCCCTGCGTTAGGGGTTTCATCCATGTGTCCATTTAATCGTTTCAATAAGTGACCAAGCTCCTGTTGCTTCCTTCATTCAACAGGTGACAAAGTGAGCCAAGCTGTGGTTGGTGCCCCAGCCTGGTGACTCCAGAGGTGAGCTTTATTTTTCTCCCTACGACATACGGCCTCCAAGGAAAATAATATAATGAGCTGGCCTAAAATAATGTAAAAAATATAGCGGTTTGGAGATAATAAAAGCAAGAGCGAATCAATATCTATATTATAGCTTGATGGGAAAAGAGCTATAGGGCAGACCCAGCCTGAGCTAAAAACAAAAGTCATCAATTAAATACAAACCCGCATGCAACATGTTTTATACCTTTTTAATGTGTTTCTTCCAGAAATGCAAGAAAATGTGTCATATATTTCTGAAATATTTTCGCTAACATTGTGGAAAAAAAATTTTTCTGCAAGAATTATGAAAATGTGTTACATTAAAAGTTCTTTTATGTGGACCACTCCCGACCTTAATGATATCGGGGAAAATGTGGTGTTGCTGGTGTGGCGGCTTCTTCTTCGTTTATTTAGTTGGTGTGTGCGCTCGGTGTCAAGGGCGGGACCGTGTCTTCAGCATTTATTCCTCTGTCCTATTTCGTTATTACCCGATTTTAAAGGATAATTCAAGAGACATGTACACATGTTCTCTGGACTTCGTCTTTGTTCAGAACCATCCGGTCTCGCTCGGATAAAACATTCGGGGCCCAGGGGAAGGTTCGATTCAGTCTATTGTGTGAAACGTATTGTGAGATCTTCAAACGAAATACAAAAGTAGCTGCAGAAAAGGTTTGCATTTCAGTTCTACGTCCCGCTTGATGTTTGCACTTCTAAAGTCACACTTTGAAGCTTTGGTGGATACAGGTAAGTGATTTTTAGCTATTTTATGGATGGCCAGGGAGAAAATATGGCGTCACGTGGGCTCACTCTTGTTGTTCTTACTTTGAAAAGTAATTTCAGAGAAACTCAATCCAGTGCAAACAGAACTATTCTAATTGGCTTTGATCAGTAAATCATGGGAAGCAGCTCTGGTCTTGCTTAGCTCTCCCCCCCGCTTCTTGTCAGGAGTGAATGATTGAACCTGGAGTGGGGTGGATTACGGGAATCTGCGTGGGCTCATTGGGTTGGACGTGTTGCTGGTTCGTGCGATGCTTGCTCTCTCCGCCAAGGTGAGAATTGGCTTTACGTCCGTCAGTAGTGCTGATGGGCTCTTCTCAACAATTTATTAATAGTTTTGCTCTGCACAGTCCCAAGAGTAATGTCCAAGTAAATTACTGACCTGGTAAGACCGGACATTCAAGGCTCTCTACAGTCTGGCTTTTATTGATAGCCCCAGAATCACTTTCCACTGTCCATGACATAAATGATTAGCCCGGCTGGTGTGGCTCAGGGGCTTGAGCGTTGCCTCATGCACCAAGAGGTCACGGGTTCGATTCCCACCCAGGGCACATGCCTGGGTTTTGGGCTCGATCTCCAGTAGGGGCCGTGCAGGAGGCAGCCGGTCCATGTTTCTCTCTCATCACGGATGTTTCTCTCTCTCTCTCCCATCTTCTCTCTCTAATGAAAAATGAAAACAAAATCAATAAAAATATATGTAAAAAAAATAAACATTGTAGTAGGATAAAAATTAAAGCCCTTCAAAGCTCTCTCCCTCTCTCTACTTATTCAAAACCCCAGCTTTTCTCGAGGGTCCGTCTTCAGTGGTGCTAACGCCTATGGAATGCCTCCCTGATAACTGTCACTCCGCGGTGTCCACGAATATCTGAGGCTGGTCTGGGAGGGACCCAGCACAGGTGAAAGCCATTCGCTGCTTCATGATGGGGACGCGTCCTGAGAAACACGTGTCCGGGCAATTCCGTTGCTGTGCTCACGCACACCTAGACCGTCCAGCGCACCGCACACCTAGGCCGCGTGGTGAGGCCTGCCGCTCGCGGGCTACAGGCTGTACAGCACTGTGGAAAAAATGAATTAGAGGAACAGACCAGCGTGACCCGATCTTCATTAAAATTCCATTCTTGCGAATGGAAGTCGAGTTCATAAAGCTCTGTGGCTGGAATAACATGTCATAACCCAAACATTTTATAATCCCATTGGGTCAAACGTGGTCGGTAGTCATACGTTGCACTGTTTGGGCAACACTTTCTTGGTAAGAGTTTGGTTACTTAAATCCTTTAAATCCTTAGATCTTTTTCTAGTAAAATAATAGCAC